ATCATGATAATAATAAAATAATGATTCTCTGTCATGTAGGGAACTAAAGTAAAGATAAAAGTGCAGCCTTTTAGCTATTCATAGTTAGTTGGAGTGTGGCAGAGCCATTCGGATGCTTTGTCTGATTTTTACGGATAATGTATTTTTGTCTCATTTTTCTCTATCTGCCGTAAGATTAAAGTGTATTCTATTCAGAGTCATAGGGATGAATACAGAATTGATTTGTACTCTATGATCTCGAAACAAAGTTACTAAATATGCCTCTAACTCTTAAGCAGTGTATTCACTATTATTTAGTAGTCACACCAGGAATGGCCCAGGGGCCTATAACTTTCGAATATCGAAGTGCAATGGATGGCTTTGCAAGAAATGAACAGTTGGCAAAGAGGTTTGACAGTTGGCAAGAGCAGTGAGCTTCCCTGCCGAAGAACTTGTACAGCAGGAAATCAAAACAAAACAAAACATTTGCACATGTTATTCGAATAGCATGAATAGTGACTTCATGTTTCGAAGCGTCGATGAAGTTTTGTATCCTCCAAATCGCACTGTGGTGACCAAATGCCTTGCTTGCTTGTCACAGAAACACGTCGGTAAAGGTCAGGCGCTTCGTCGTCGCACGCAGAAGACCTGAGCTCAACCCTTGTGTGTGGAGACTTTTAAATCGAATATCTCGCTCTATCAGCTGGGACTTCGTATCCTTCTGAGCTCGAGTTGACCCTGACAGCCAGGGTAAAAGCCCGCCTTCCAAATGACCTTTATTGGATTGATTGGGGCGTAAAACCCCTGTTTCGACTGTACCCGGATAAATTGCTTGTAGCGGAAACACGTCGTTAAATCCGTGGTGGGAATTTCCTCGCTTGAGACTGAGAGAAAAGCGACCAGGCAATCACTACACTCACCACCATGCCAGTCACTCGAAACAAATCCCTCCCGCTCCAGCTGACCTGCGACATGATTCAGCACCACGTGACTGGTCATCGCACTCTGCGCCGGGACTCGCGCACTGAGAGCGACAGCGGTACCCTCAGCCTGGCAGGCGAATCCCGCGCTCTGGCGGCTGGGACTGGGAACGGTTGTGGTCATGATGCTGGGGGTCCTGACGTCACCGCCGAGTCGGGGGATGGGGAGCTGGACGGGTTGTGCAGTGTGAGTCCTTGAGTTAGTGACCCTTTTGCTAGTGAGTCCTTTTGCTGTTGGTTTGAATGTTTGGTATGTTGGGTTTTTTTTTGGTTTGTTTTTACTTTAGGAAGAGTTTCACAGCACTTGCAACTCAGTTAGGTCATACAAGTGCCGACAATAAGAGGTGTTACAAGAGGGTAATATACAAAGAAAAGGAGTAGAGGTAAAGATGATAGGTGTTTGAAAAAAATAAGATTGTACTCAAGATACCCCCCCTCTCCCGCCCCCCTCCCCTTTCTCTCTCTCTTCCCTCTCTCTCTCTATTTCTCTCTCTCTCCCCTTCTCTCTCTCTCCCCCTCTCTCTCTCT